GGTGTAGAGCTGGTCCAGTGTTCCACGACCAGGACGAAAACCACACTGCTCTTCCTGAATCCGAGGTTCGACTATCCGACGGACCCTCCTCTCCAGGAAAGTTAAATGAAGAAACAAAAGACAGTTTTGCCCATAACTTTTAACAAGTTTAGAACACTGTAGGAAGTTTACTTCTTTGTTTTTTTTATTTTTACAATGAACTTTTTACAGCCATTTATTTCACTTGGTGGTCGGCACAAATACAGTTTCTGTCCTTGTTCAGGCACAGATGTACCTTACACATCTATTATCATATTGATGACATTTTCTTACTTTCTTTTTTTCTCTCTTCTTCCTCAATTTTCTTTGACATCTAACACGTAAATAATTAGTCAGTACAGCGTAGAGATTATAATTTCAAAGAAAAACACTTTGAAAATAACCAAAATGTGTTTTCAAATAGCATTTCAGTAATTAATCAATCATCCAAAACAGTGTGTGTTGTATTGTGGCAAGAATACTGTTGATTAAATTACTAAAATGTCACATGACAATTCAGGACTTATATACCTGCAGTATCAAGTTTGATACACAAATGTTTAACATGGTTTAACTACTATTAAAAATATTTTAAGTAATTATGCATTGTTTCAACACAGAAAGTATTTATTTAAAAAATTACAAACAATATTGATGTTATTCTTACCATAACTTCTCCAAAATTAGCAAAAGTAAAATGTGTGGATGACCTCATGTCAGCAGTCATTTTGAAAAGGCAAAAAAAAAAAAGTTCCACTTCCTGCAGTACATTGATAATCCACCAGAGGGCAGAATACAGGTCTCACATTATATACAACAGGTTTTTGAGGAATAATTTGATCACATTGATAAAATATAGGTCACAGAATCCTGCATAGCAAATATGATACAAATTGCAACATAGGGCTGTTCTATCTAATAGTTCTTAATAGTTAGAACCTAATTGAACATGACAGTCGTGGAGGATGAAGAAAGGCAAAAGTCTTTATCCAGGCTAGGCTAACAGCTAACCGTTTTATAACTTCTTAGGATTATAAGTCAACTCTTTTTCCAAAATGATGGTTTTGTTTAGATTCTTCTGATGAATAAATCTTGAGTCGGTGTCTCTGCCTTCAGATCAGCGACTGCAGCTCTCAGCAGATCCAGGGTCTGCCGTCTCTGAGGTCCAGCCTGGAGACGATGAGCGTTCACCGCTGCACAGAATCCATGACGGTACGTTAGAGTTTCAACCCGACCCGATGGTTCTGATGTCAGAGCAGCTGTTTGAGCTCAACCTTCCTCCCCTCCACACCCAGACGGTCCTGGTGCCCGAGGCCAGCGAGTTCTCTCAGTGGGAGCCCGAGGGGGCGGAGTCCGGCTGCCCCGTCACCGCCGTCATCCCCGTGTGGAGGAACCTGACAACGCTGGACCTGAGCCACAACTGCATCAGCAGCATCGACGGCTCGGTGGTGAGGAACGCTCCCGTCAAACCCAAGGTCTGAAACGTTTTTATTTCTCACATCGAGTTCCTCTTTGTTGTAGAAACTGATCCGTAAGGTGGAGTTTTTAGATCTGAGCTACAACCAGCTGTCCTCCGTGGACAACCTGCAGGTATGAAACATACATGAACAGCAGCATCAATCTCAACTGATGAATCTGCTGCTGTGAAAGTTCTAGTTGTTCTCACGTTGCAGCACCTGTACAACCTGGTCCACGTGGATCTGTCCTACAACAGCCTCCGGGTCCTGGAAGCTGCTCACACTCGCTTGGGGAACATTAAAACCCTGAGCCTGGCTGGGAACCAGCTGGAGAGACTGAACGGCCTCTCCAAGCTCTACTCTCTGGTCAACCTGGACCTCAGCCACAACCAGCTGGCCCAGGTAACCCAGACCAGGGAGTCTTAACTGTTCAGAACCTTTTCTACAGAACCCTGCTTCAAAAAGGCTGAACTGTCCGTTTAAGAACATTTAGGTGAAACTGATGTTTGTTGGTTGTGACTTTTTTCCAGTTGGAGGAAATCAGGAACATCGGGGCTCTGCCCTGTTTGGAGAAACTCAACCTGTCCAGTAACCCCATGTGCATCATCCCCGACTACAGAACCAAAGTTCTGGCCCAGTTTGGAGACCGAGCAGCAGAGGTAAGCCTCCATATCTCCCCCAGATCATCTTGAGATCACCCCCGATCATCCTGAGATCACCCCCGATCATCCTGAGATCACCCCCGATCAACCTGAGATCACCCCCAGATCATCTTGAGATCACCCTGAGATTATCCCTGATCACCCTGAGATCATCCTGAGATCATCCCTGATCACCCTGAGATCATCCCTGATCACCCTGAGATCACCCCTGATCACCCTGAGATCAACCCTGATCACTCTGAGATCACCCTGAGATCACCCCCTGATCACTCTGAGATCACCCCGATCACTCTGAGATCAACCCTGATCACTCTGAGATCACCCTGAGATCACCCCCTAATCATTCTGAGATCACCCTGAGATCATCCCTGATCACCCCTGATCACTCTGAGATCACCCCCTGATCACTCTGAGATCACCCCCTGATCACCCTGAGACCCCCTGATCACTCTGAGATCACCCACTGATCACTCTGAGATCACCCTGAGATCATCCCTGATCACCCCCTGATCACTCTGAGATCACCCCCTGATCACTCTGAGATCACCCTGAGATCATCCCTGATCACCCCCTGATCACTCTGAGATCACCCCCTGATCACTCTGAGATCACCCTGAGATCATCCCTGATCACCCTGAGGTCACCCCTGATCACTCTGAGAT